ATATTTGTTAATTATGTTTAGCTTTTAAATGACTGTTAAATATCTCCTGATTTCCACTTAATATAACCCAACTACCATCGCGGGTTGAAACCATAGTTCTAGAGGAAATAAATGCATCCATATTTTATTTCATTTATTTTTTGATTGAACAACAGACAACTGCAACATAAATACTTATTTCTTAGAAAATAGAAACTAATTAAAAAACCACAAAGATTAAAGTAAACTGTAGGTGTTGGAACATATTTATCTAAACTTCTACAGCTGTCAAATGAAGTGAAGAGATTTCTCACAGCTAGGCCTGGGATCTTATCCAAGCTTTTTTAAAGAAAAACTGCATTTACATCCCTGAACTCTTAAACACAGCACTCGACTATTAAATAACACTCACATGCCATTTTCCTGTAAAATGAAAAGAGCTAAATCCCTCTGTGTTGCTCAGATGTAGCTTATCTTTCAAACCCGATTGTCATAATCCCGATGACTGAAGTTGTCCTCACTGAAAGGCTTAAGGATAAACTAGAAGACGAACACATCACAGCGGTCTTCCTCCACCTAAGCTCTCATCAGGCTGCATCACGAGGAGGAAGAGTTAGAGGTCTGTTTTACTGTTGTGAGAGTGCCACCTGCTGCTCTGAGACGTGTTTGGCATCCGTCTCATGTCTCTGCTTTAATAGCCCCCATAAGTCAAAGTGAAAAAGATCACAAACTGTTACGGGTAAGCAGCAGCTTCAGCTGGTTTTACCACCGTTTGTCATTGTAATGCCTCAGGTATGCTGACTGCTTCCAAGAGCCTGTTTGTCATCCTAGAGGTGGGGAATGATGATATCAAAGGTGAGAAAGGACAGCTAAATGTAGAGACTATGAACTGACTTGGACTTTATTGCAAGGCAGAGAATGTAGGGATAAATGTCGGACCAGCAGCAGATGTGACTAAACTCTCCAAAGAACACATGGATGTGAAATTATTTGCTTTTTTTAAAATGCTGCCAAGTGATGCAAAGAATCTAGAGAATAGCAAAAGCATAGAATCTAGCACTCTTCAAATAGGAAATCAAAGTCCTTTACAGTGAAATATATAAAAATACATTTCAAACTGATGCAATATGAACATGCTTTAAAGAGTCATTTTAAAACAAAAGATGAAGACCAGTAACAACAGAATCACCTAAGGAGGTTTTAAGAATTATATATTTAGCTTGGGCTACATCTGTCCATGAATAACAGAGGCATTTTAATTTGTTTTTAACTTGTATACAGCAATTTAAATTGATAAGTACTTATTCTCTTATTGGAATAGAACATAAAACAGCAGAATTTAATGACAGCTTGTCTTATTTCTCATGCAAAGGCACTGCTTTCTTTTGTTTCAGTGACAAGAGAAGAGTTGGTTGCTAGATAATGAACTTTAATGTGTAAAAAAAAAATAAATTAACTATTCTTATCAGGCCTTCAGACATTTCTTTGTCTCATTTTTGCATTTTATTCACTTTGTCATACTCCAGTAAAGTCACAAAATCTGTCATTTCCAAATATAATAGGGAACATAATGAATTTATTTTTCTTACGTGATCACAATAGGCTTCAGTTTTGCATTTTAAATAGGAGCAAACCTAGTCAGTGAAGTAGAATGAAAATTAAAAGTGAAAAAGACTTAAAAAGAGCTGCTTTCAATTTTATTTGAAAGAAAAGCTTTGTTTGTTGCCTTGAACTATTTTCCTTTACAGAAGGAAAATAAGCAAAGCTGATGAGGCAGATCCATTCATTTATTAAACTGACATTCAGTCTGTATTGTTCCTCCAGGGCTTGTAGCAATGTTTACTTTGGTTTATGATCAAATGGCTTGTCAGCATAATAGAATAGCTCATCAATAATGTTCCTATATTTGCATCTTTCTTTCCTGCTCTCTTCATACTGTCCCTCCTGCCATTTATAATAGGAGTCTACCTATTCTAGTTTGGTTTGGAGAATGTATATTTTTAAGTTCGGAGCAACACATCACCTCACACTTACCAGACATAACATAATGACCGCTGCACTGACTAATGATGTGAATAATGATTATTATTACTTTGTTACGTTGCCTGTTAGTGTGTAGGAGATAAATAGTAAGTATACCTTGTGTTATCAGAGTTGATGAGTTTGAAGCAGGAACATGAGCCAGGGAATGGCTGAACGAGAGTTTGACAAGGGAGAAAAAGTATGATTGCTAAATGCCTGGGTCAAGGCGTCTCTGAAACTACAGCTCTTGCAGAGGCTTTATGCTATAGAGTGGTTAGTGTCTATCAAAAGTTTAGGTTAGTTGGTTTGAGACAGATGAATTGCTGTGGCAACCCCTGGAGGGAAAAGCCAAAAGAGAAGAAGAACCGTCTATCAAAAGTACATCAACAGAAGAATGATGGTGAACCAGTGACAGGGTAATGTGTGGCCAAGGCTCAGATGCAACACAGGCTGGCCCATTTGGTTGGAAAATATAAGCCATTTGGAAAGGTTTATTACATCTGGCATAAATTGTACGCAAGAACCTATCTTGATGAATTAAAAAAAAATTGAAAAAAATACTCAACATTCCCCCACAATGATGTCAATTATCATAAAAAGGTTTGTTGCAAACCTTCCTGACAAGGGTGGCACAATCAGTAATTTCATTTAGGGACAATTACTTTCCAAACAGGACCCCTAATTAAAAAAAATTATATTCTGGAGATATGCATTTTGTTTTATTTAATCAGTTTTTTTTTTTTTTTTTCACTTCAGCATTTGTTGATTATCCTAAACATTTATGTGTGACAAAAGAACAAAAACTCAAACTACGAAGGACAGATGTCTTAAATGTTGAGAACAAGTTGACATGCGACATCCATTCACTTTGTGTTTTGATGTTGTGAAATATCTTAAACTTGTAAAGGATTTCATGCAATGGAAAGAGTCCTTTTTAGGCTTTTTGGCAAAATGTAAGATGGCCCAATGCCTAAAATGTTAAACTTCATCCACCGCAGGAGTTTTGGGTTTCTCTCCAGGACTTAACAAAATAAGCTTAATTAAAAAAGCAGTTTGTGTGATTTAGATGGATTTCTAATAGCCTCAAGATTTCTTTTTTTTTTTTTTTTGCAAGATATTTTGGCATCAAAAAGGGAAGGCAGTTTCGTGCATAAACTGATTTTGGTGTCAGTGGGTGTGAAAGTGTGAAAGCACGATGCTGTGTGGGCTGCAGATATGATGCTTGGCCTCCTCTCATGCACCTAGTGGCTGCTGACTGACTTAAAGTAAGGCGATAATCTGAGAGATTTATCACACGTTGGATTGGAAATGATACTTTGAGAGACCTATGAGAGGCTTGGACAGCAGTCGTAAATTTTGGTTCTTGCATGAAACCACAAACATATTTGTGGAGCTCAATTTCAGGTCTTAAAATTAGCTGTAAAACATGACAGAGTAGACCATGAATTGTTCCATGATTTGGGGGTGGAAGGCTATTTTCAACTCAAGTTCTTCAGTCTAATTTGAGAGCTGGCTTGGACTCTGGACTGCACCGTTAGTATTGAAGTACTACTTTAACAAAACACATTGAGTGAATTACAGATTACACAAGATGTTCTTGCGTTCAATGTATTGACATAAGCTTTTCCAATCACTTCAATGGCCATGTGTGGATAAAACCACACACCTAGACATACAGGCTGCTTCTACAAACATTTGTCCACTGTGGTACCAAGAAAAGGTTGCTACAAATGTGCATCTAGTCCAGTTTTCAAATTACTATGGAAAGTTAGCTTGCCTGTGTTTACTCAATAGAGTCCAGTACAGAACGGATGCAAAGCAACCACGTCATCAACCCAGCATGCATTGCAGAGGTGAAAAAATGGCGACCACCAGGGGTGAAAAATATGACTAAAGATATACGATCTTTAAAATAATTGAGTTTTGACATGTCACAAACAGCAATTTTTTTTTGTTCGTAGGAAAATTACAACATATTTAGGCCAACAAGTTCAACTAATCATGGATCCCTATAAAATGGTAGTCTGTTAGAAAGGACCAGGCTTCTTGTAAATTTTCTAATTTTATATTTTGGGTTACCAGTTTTGATCCAGTTAGTTAAAACTGTCTAATTGAGGTCCTAACAGCTTAATTTCTTAAGCTGCCTGATGCAGCGGCATTTGGAGTGATTCAATAATCCAGCAGTTTTAAGGAGTGATTGAGCATTCTTGTGTTTTTTTTTAGGCTCAATCACTTAATAGCTTTAGATAAATGTCTAAAGTGGTCTTTCCGATTATGTTAAGCATGCCAACTGTATTTGGTGTCTCCTGTATGTTCAGACATAACATAAACTGGTGAAATTGAAAAAAAAAGAAAAAGAAATGCATGAAAAATACCTAAATGACATTTCACATATGTATCTTTTAATTAACACGTACAGTTGTCGGGAAGAGTTGTCTGATTTTTATTTCATTTATATGCAGATGGATGCGTTTTCAATTATTTTTGAGTTCCACATGTTAAAAAGATTTTTAATTTCTAAATCCTGTTTCATTATTATGAACTCTAATTTGTATGTATCACTTGAGTTTTATATTTATATTTAAAAATATATTTTGTAAATAACATGTCAGCTGAATTCTGTGTGATCATTTATCTTTACCACAGACCAAAGCGTAAGAACCTTTTGTAAATAAACACCTGGCTAGTAAATTGCTGGGTAATTAATGGTACATCTGCTGCCATTTTTCATGCTGTTATACTGGCCTTTGGATGGTAATTACTTTGGCCTACGTAAGGATTCACTGCACATCACAGTCACTGGAAAGATTTGAGAAATTATCTAATTAATGTGGCTATACTGCATATTTGATTATAAAATAAGTGCATAATAATTAATAGACAGTGCTTTGTGGGTAGAGAAGCCCTTCAAGGAAAGTTTGAAATCCAACTTTTGATTTGTGATACGTAGCATTCAGTTTTCACTTTCATGTTTCTCAAAAGACATTTAGAAAGCTTTCTTGGAACACAGTAAAAAATGCTGGGTTATTTTCATAACCCAATTTCTGGGTTGAAGCTGTTGGGTCATAGGTTGGG